GCACGAAATGGGGATTGACCTTCTTAATGGGCGGTGGCATCTTGTGAGTGCTTAGACGAGGCCGTTAAACATGCTCACATCATGGACGATAACTCAGTGCAGCCGCCGCCACTTTCGTGAAAGTCTACTACATGCGAGACATGACCAAGCTTGCCGATGTCACCTATGCATGGGGACCGCTCGCTTTGTGGTACATGTAGGACTCCTTTCCAGAGGTCCGTAGCACAACGAGAGCTGACTGGTGCATTACAGGGCCGAAGTATTCGTCCTAATTATGATGGGCTCTCTGCCGACACTCAAACCGATCGTCTCTTATATACGAGGTCATATGCCTTCGGTGGGTAGCTATGTACTCTCCAAGAAGCAACGCACCGGAGGCAGTAAGATCACGACTGTCGGCTCGAAGAGCTCGAATGGGTTTCGCCATTGCGGGCAAGGCGATATCACGATCGCTCTGAACGAGATTGACAACATTTCGAGGCAGTAAGCAGGATCGAGTACCGAATCGATACTTGCGTCAAGCAAAGAGAAAGCGATAGCACCAACAACGACTGCTTCTCAAGCGTCAAAATCGCCGCGAAGTTCGCTTCCACCTTCACCCAGGATGAAAGCCTGCGACGCACCTGCAGCACTGATCAGCAATTTGTCGTCTTCTCTTCGGGAGGATCGAGCGTCTCGAGACACATCTGCGGAGCGCGCGATCCAGGTTCAGCGAGACTTTGTAATTGGCTACGACAAACACCCTGAGCAAGACACGACCGCTTTTGAGCAGAGTAAACGGCCATAAATATTTTTGGGGCTATAAACTGGGGTCAATTGCAACAGTTATATTAGCCGTGTGGCGCGACCATTCCGACTGAATGAGTATGGCACACTCGCACCTTTCCCTTCTCAGTCATCCCTTGTCGAATCACCTCGCGTCACCTCGTGAAGCGCTCACTTGGTCAATCCTTGCGGCACAGTCGAGAATAGGGGATGCACTCTTTGTTCTCTTTCCTATCGACGATTGCATTAATGTTTCTGTCACTTCCCATATTGATTGCTTGAGTTCATCTCCAAGATGGCGGATTCCCGTCGTTACCAAGAGCTGCTGAACCAAATGGAATGGACATTGTGCGCTTTGGCTATAGTTGTAGTCGGAGCACGCACGTATTGCTGATCGGTGGCAGTTCGCAACTTCACCTTAGACGACGGTTTTATGGTCATGGCGTTGGTATGTAAATCACTTTTCGGACTGACTCACATGCTAAAGAGTTGCATCAGGCTGCTGGGATTGTAATGATGGCCTTGGTATCGGCTGCTATCACTCGCGGTTACGGCCTGCATCTTGATGATATCCTTGACTGTTATGATCGTGAGCAGGCGCTCATGTACACATTTGTCGCACCCACAGCCTCTATCTTGTCATCTACATTAGGGAAGATGTCTATGGTACTTTTTCTCGTGCGCTTGTTGGGTCAGTCGGCGAGGAAGGTCCACTTGTGGCTCTTATACTCGGTCACAGCGATCATGATTGGTGCCAACATCTTCACAGTGGGAGTACTACTTGGTGGATGCACGCCCATGGAGAAGAGCTGGAAGCCGGAAATATCTGGTAGCTGTGTTGCTCTAACTGTTTTCAACTATATCGGACGTATACAATCTGGTACATTTAAATCACTTATCACTTCAGTAACTTATTTCTAAATATCTGGTTAGGTTGGAACGCTTTCATGGATCTTACCACCGCAGCGTTCCCTTTGTACATGGTGTGGAGACTTACTTTGAAGCGAAGCACGAAGTTTGGCCTCACTATTCTCATGTGCGGAGGAGTATTGTAAGAGACTCGTGGGCACACCATTAACACCTTTGCTGATTGCTTCCAATGCTGCTGCAGCTACGTTTGCCAAGATCTGGTATATGCGTGCTATTAGCCACATAACCGACATTACGTACGCATGGGCTCCGATATCGATATGCTACATGTAAGTCTCCAGTGTCAATTCCGTGACCTCCATGCTAATCTTCCGACGTATAGTGCTGAAGTCTTCGTACTGATCATAGCTGGCTCGCTGCCAACACTACAACCAGTGATACACGCTTTGCGTGGCAAAACTCAGTCCAAACCCGGCCTATTTGCAATCTTGAAGAAAGACAGCAGCCAAGGAAGCAGTACTTCGCCCTGCGGCGGGACAACAATGGCTGGAACCACAGGGTGGGAGCTGCCTGAGATCGAAAACGGTCACAGACAGGCTAGCTCAGATGATCTTACAGCTCTGCCACCTTACCCTGTCAGACCAGACGTGAGGATCTCGCCACTAAATTCTCTCCCGCCAGATCCTGATCAGCCTCAGGCCAGGCACAGCCTGGGTACCATCACAGTTCAGCAAGAATTCAGTCTGTCGTACGAGCGATCTCCACGGGATTCCATGTCTTTGGAGGACGAAAGACGGTATTGATTGTACGACGTTTGACGCTGAAATTTCTCGAGTCGAATCCGTTTCTACTCAAACAGAGCCATCAAGTTCCCTCGCCTTACTACTCTTACCAGCATCCTTGGTGTCGTAGTCGGCACTAACGCCGGACTCTGCATCTTCTTCTTCACTAGTGGAAGCTTCTCCAATGTTGCCTTTCTTCGATGATCGAATATGCAAAAGCTGGATGGCGACAATGGATACTAGTGCCGCGATAACGAGACCGAAGGTACCCGGAAATCCGCGGCGAAACGTAGGCGCCATAGTCTGTGGGAAAATAACGATTGGGAGCCAGGCTGCGACAGCGTACTGGAAGCCATTCATGCTACTGATAACGATTGCGCGCTCTTCATTGTCGCCTGCGCAGAGCTCGTTCGCCCACGTGTAACTAGGATATCCATCAGCCAAAAGTTGTTCAGATCGGGAATGGAGAACTTACAAGATGGCAGTCATGAGCTGCACTCCGCACGTCAAGAATGCGAAGAGCTTTGCACTCTGACTTGGGGGCCAGAAAGCTAAAATGCCGTTCGGTATGAGACCGTACGCTAGTGGTCCAAATATTAAAGCGAATCTGCTACCAGTGTAATCAGACAAGAAGCCCCAGAGCACAATGCAGAACCCTGAAATGAGCTTTGTGCCCGTGGGTATGATGTTTCGGTCGACGACAGAAAATCCCTCTGATTTCAGCCAGATGCCGAAGTAGTCGCCCGCACCGCATGCGCTGCCATACAGCACGTAGCCAAGCGTAAATGCATACCACCGCCAGCCAGTCAACACACGCTTAAAGGTCGCCAGGGTGATTTTGGCAGGTGCGGCTTTACCAGCCTTCTGGGCACGGTTGATAGCGAGTTGCTTGTCCTCGTCACTCAAGAACCATGCTTTTGTCGTGTAGGGCGTGTCAGGCAGCACCCACCAGGTCACGAAGCCGACTGGGACAGTCATACACTGCAGATAATCAGTCCTATCCAGCAGGAGAATGCACAAGCACTTACACCGCACACGATGTACAACCATCGCCAGCCCTCGAGGCCATGAGCACCATCCAGACTTTTGTACACCGCAGCCTGCAGGTACCCGCCAAACGCGCTGCCAACAGGCGCCGTCATGTGGAAAATTGCAATGCGCTTTGCGAGCTCAGTCTTCGTGTACCAGCTACCCAGCACATAGAGAAGCGCGGGAAAGAAGGAGGACTCGAAGAACCCGACGAGGAAGCGAAAGGCGTAGAGCTCGGGGACATTCTTCACGCCAGCTTGTGCGAATGTGAAAGTGCCCCATGCGATTTCCATGGCGGCGAGCCAGTACGAAGGACGAATGTATTGAATGATGATGTTACTCGGGCTGGCAAAAGCTTAGCAGTGACAAGACTTTTGGAAATGAGAGGAAACTCACATCTGCATTACAGCATACGCCACCGTGTAGCAGGTGACGGCATAGGTGTACTCGTTGCCGTACATCCGCAGATCTTCTTGCATGCCTGAGACGTAGGCATTGGAGAGGTTGCCCTGGTCGAGGTACTTGAGGAAGAAGCCAAGACATCCGATGGTCAGGATCGAGAAGTCGAGTTTGCGGAGGAGCACACGCTCTTCGTGGGACTTGAGATGAGTGTCTGAGTCCCAGATGAAGGAGCGGAAGTTTTTGAAGACTCTCGGCACCATGATGGAAGCTCTCCAGGGCTAAAGTAGATCCAGTCTGTACAGTAATGTGTTAGTGAGGACTGAGCTGCTACTTATACACCTCTACCCAACCATCGCAATATCACAGGAGCAGCTCTATCGTGATGCGCACTATTCTTCTGCAATGCAGCCTTGGAGACGGAGATACGTTTCCTGGTCGTGGCAATAAGCGGCCTTGTTCCTTAGACGGGTAATCATTGGAGGGGCGAAGCACATCATTGCTAGGGTGCATATCGCAACCACCACACCGCAGTGCAGAACGCTAGAATCCGGCAATGCAACGCTGGAAGTTACCGGAGCTCGAATGACGGGTTGAACTACACCCGGATCTATGCTCAGGCATGCAAGACACGCTTAAAGATCTCTACAAGGCCATGGCTTGACAAAGCAGACCTCCAGGCTATGTGCTTGTAGTGTCGACGTCGAGAAACCCCATCGAGATCCATGTCGACGGACAAGGCTTCGACAAGCTTCTGAGCGCGACTGGTGGCTGCTCGTGGCATGCTTACCCCCCTATTATCGTCGACCAAGACAACGCCAAGTAGGACTTGTGATAGGCGCAGAGCGAGTTGCAGCATACCCTTGTGAAGTCATGCCCTTGCAGTGTAATCGAGGAAAAGGAGACGCTGAGGGTGAGAGTTGAGAGGGTGCGCAGCTTTGAGGAAGTGGACCATGCATGTTTTGATTTTTCGCAATGTGAACGTTCTTACGCGAATGGCACGAGGATATTTGAGAGAAGCTGCAACGCGAAGGAGCTCCATGAAAGCCACGCGCCGAGATCACGTGGAGCACCCCGCACCAGCAAAAACTTCACCAACACCTCCACCATGACTCCAGACCCTTCACGAGCATGGAAGAAGGGCAAAAATGATGCTTCCGTCACGGGGAATCGAACCCCGGCCACATCGGCGCTTGCTTATGAGAGCGATGTATCCTAGCCACTTTTCGGAGGTTAGTGATTGTTGGTGAGAGGGTGAAGGATGGTTGAGCTTACCTAGACCATAACGGATTTGATGACGGTTTTTCATAACTGATAGTTCATATCCCCATCAACAAAACTACTTCTCGCTCGTTGTGCGTGCGGCTGCTCGTCGCTCACAGAAGTCATTGCGTGTTGCGTAGTTCAATCCTGGCTCTCGGGTTGCAGGAGCTGGCTGCAAGCCACACGACCAGGAAATCTGGGAGGCAGTCAAGGAGACTCTGCGAGACTCTTGTAAGCTGGTAAAACTCCTGGCGGCTACGATATTCCTGCACTTGCAGCCGGCTTTTTCTGCGACCTGAGAGCCTGGAAGCGCTCTTGCCTAATCTCGCCGAGCGCACGCCTGTCCCTCAAGTCCTCAACAATGAGCGGCAATTTCCTCTCATACTTTTAGTGAGCAGAGCCATCGCATCTCCTCGACATCGCCTTCGCGCGAGACACAGCGAAGCCCCGGAGCTTGCCTGCGGTCTGACAGCTATCCCACGGAGACGGACGACCTGATGCGCGCTCTCTTGGGTGGGCTGGAGCGTCTCGACGCACTTGTCTATTTGTTCACGTTCTGAAGCTCGATTTCCCAGCGCTTCATCTAACAGGCGGCTTCTTCGGTCCCAGCGCTCCACCAAGAATGGCAGGATCCAGCATTTTAGCCTCCGGCACGTCAACGCCGCACTTAACGAACATGCTCCTCCACACCGCACCGACAGGTCGCTCTTCCGGCATGAACACTACTGTATTCACATACGTCGTCGTTGTGTTATAGCAGTCCGCCTCGCTGAACAGTTGCGCTTCGCAGTTGTCGCCCTTTTCCGAATAAAAGACACCGCAGCGCGCGTCGCTGGGGAGGTTGATGCACGACCCGTTCTTCCATTGTTCTGCAGGGCGCGCAAACGAGATTTTCTGCAGGACGCTCCCTCTGCAGTGCTTAGGGCCGCCAGAACCGGAGTATGAGAAGGCGAGAATTGGAATCTGCGTAACAGGTTGCGGCGTGGGTCGCGAGACTGGATGAGATGTAGGGTCGGTTTCGATGTACCCCTCGTCAACACTGGAGGTGGGCGCTGGCGTCTCCTGATCTCCGATCATGCCTTCGTCGGTTTGCATCATCGTGGGTGTATAGACTGCCGGTGCAATCGTGGTCCCGTTCAAGATGTCGCCGCGATCGAAGTCGGTACCGTTGAGCAGCGCCTTCGCTGCGATTTCGCGCTCAGATTCGCCATACTTTGCTGCCTGTGCGAGCGTGACTGCCATCATCTTAGGTAGTGGTGCGCGTATCTCGATTGCCGTCGCCAGCAGCATTGCAACTAGGAGGAGCAAGAATGTCGCCGTGAGAAGGAGGATAAGACGCCTCGGTATCGCCATACTGAGCGACGCGCAACAGAGAATGGAAGGAAAGACAGAAGACGTCCGAAAGTTCAGTAAGGTGTCGAGCTTCGATGCTGCTAGACCAGGTGTTGCAGCTCGCGTTTCATCCCCACGGCCTTCTGAAACGCCTTGGCCCAGCTCGTCAACAACATCCAAAGAGGCCGAGTCGGCCGTCTCCTCGACAGCTCGCCGTCATGATCGAAAGCTGATGGTTCATTTCGATGGTCACTCTGGCCGCGCAGAGGATAATCGCACGATGTAACTGCAACTTTGGGACCCAGCCGAACAACACCCCAAGAAACAGAAATCGTTCCCAATGGTGCCCTTTCACCATACCTTACCTCTGCAGACAATGCTCTGCTAATTCCCCGATTGTTTCGTTGATCTCGACATTCAACTCGATCATTCGTCGGGCAGCCATGACATCTTCAGCATCCCTAGTAGGTCTACCAGATGAGATCCTGCTTACCATCGCTCTGGTCATTGACACGTTCGATGACCCCAACGCAACGCTCTGTAATCTTGCTCTCACGAATCGCAGATTCACCGCAATCACTCGCGATGCACTTGTACGAAGCGCTATCGTACCTCGACAGGGCATGTTTGATTACATTACTCTACTGCAAAAGCACCCTGAATGCACCCAGAACGTTGAACAGCTGGAAGTTTACGGGTGTGCAACCTGTCCACAAGTTATACCGGCGCAGCTCTGTTACCCATTTGCTCTCTCTAAGGTGTTCGCGCCGGACAAGGCGGAAACAGACTCAGAGCCTGCGCCGAAGTCTGACCAGACTGAGCGACAACTATGGTTGTTACCTTTGGCCATTGGCTCTCTATGCGTTTCTGCGCAATCTGAAGAGCTTAGTTGTCAAGAACGGTAACTTACATGGATTCTCGAAAGTCTTCCAACTTTAATTTCAAGGGACCTAGCTCTACAGCGAGTACGGGCCACTCTTCTGAGCAGAACACAGGAGCCCAGCGTCTTCCATGATAGAGGAATCATCTGCCTGGTCAAACTTGAGGAGATGCTCAACCTCAAAGTTTTGAACATTAGTCAGACGCAGTGTACTCGTCGCTGAATGCTCGCTCGGCCGTCTACGTCAAGTGGCACACTGTTGCCGAGCCTTGAGACTATTCGGGTCTTCGGCGGAACCACTGACGCCGTCTGGGATTGGTTGCGCGCCCTGCTAGTCGATGCCTCCGAGTGTAATACTTTGCGCAAGCTCCGGAACCTGCGTCAGGTCATTGTATACCGTCCCCGACCATATAAGGGTCGCGAAGGTGGTGCACGCAAATGTTCCATCAGGCTTCTGGCAGGCCTTGGACATGCCACTGCAGTCACATGGCCGGTAGGATACACCAAACCGAGACTGAAAAAAGATCAAGTGTAAGATATTGGAAAGTACAAAATCTTTGATCTTGTCGGTAGGCCTTGATCGCGACTGAGTCCAGGAGCTTGCAGTCAACTTTCCTGCGGTGTCAGCGATCCTCTTTGATAATCGAGGCGGAACGAACGTATGTGTTTATCATCGAATTTGCGTATTGAATCGACGAATCATAAGAGAATCCCTATGGAGTGCCAACCTTATCTGCGAGGTTCAACACAATGATGCCTGTGCCGTCACCCGGCGGCTGGTAGAAGCCCTCGATCTCAAGACCAGCTTGCTCAAACAGACTTGTCCATTGCTTCTCAGTGCGTTCCATGGCTGACAGCAGAGTCATCATCTCCATATCCCACATGGCTGGTAGCAGCGATACCCCCTCAACAGGAAGGATGAAGTCTTCGACAATCAGCGTCGAATAGCCCTTCTTCATACCTGCTGTAACGTTCTTCAGCAACTTCAGACAAAGCTCATCGTTCCAGTCGTGCAAGATGAACTTCATGTAATAGATCCGCGCATCTTGGTCTTATTAGTGATTCATCTGCGTTCTCGAGGGCACACTTACTGGGGACGACCTGGTCCTGGAAGAAGTTGAAGGACTTCTTTTCAACCCCATCAAGGGTCAGGGTCTTGTCATCGACGACGTGGGGCAGGTCCATTAGGACGTACTTGCCGGGATATCCGGAGAATTTTGCTTTGAAGTCAAGCAAATCGCGCCCTCGACCCCCTGCGACATCAACGTAGAGGACGTCGTCAGTACTAAGTGGTCTGGAGACATCATCAAGCAACTTCTGTTGCACGGGAAACCATTCAACCCAGAGTGGCCGGCTGCCCCGGTCGCCTTCAAAGAACGCATACGCCGCGTTCAGAAGTTTTGGATTCGCGGCAATGTATGGCCAGAGATTCTGACCTGGAATGTTGTGCCCGTACTGAGCTGGGCCAGAGTTCTGGTCATCGGGGTTCTTGTAGCCGTGCTTCTCAAGATATTCAGGGAGTTTGGTCATCGAGATCATTCCGGCATCATAGCTGCGCTAATTGTCAGTCTACACGCAGCGCTCCTTGAAGTTCAACATACATGAACTCGACAAGTCCTGCCGTCTGTCTTGTGGCGAGTGCCTTTGTCAAGGGGTTGGGCCCGTAAGTCGACTCATCCAACTCTGCAACATAGCCCGATGCAGTAAGAACGCGAAGCAGGCGTTCTCAGACAGTGTTAGCAGCATTGTATGGAGACTGAGAAGAATCACTTTACCCAAAAGGATTTGATCAGCCTTTGTGATCTCCGCTAGCTGTTGCGAGGTTATCCTCCCCTTCTCAGCGATGTGCTTAAAGACGCCGAGCTCGAGCAAAGTTCGAGTTGCCATGAAGATCGATGGCTGGGATCATTGTGGTCAGCACGTGCATTTTCGGAAGCCATTGAGCTGCAGTACCTGGTATGCTAATTCCGTGATCGCATCTTCGGGCTTTTGCAGGGCAGCTACGAGCTTCGTGGCTGCTTCGAGCAAAGTCACCCGGAGCTTCTCTGGAAGTGTGCCATTCACAGCAGCTGTCGTTACCGATTCGATGATCGATCGTGCGGTCTCCATGTTGGGTTGGACAATTGAGATCCTTCAACGAGAAAAGAGATTAAGAGCCTGTGCATTTCACACCATGGGCAGCGCCCTCATATGGCACTATTGTCGAGTCAACCACATTTTTAGGCGCTTCGAGCCAAGCTGTTTGAACACGGGGCTAAGTTAGAGGAGCGCCACTAGTCGCTCGAGCTCATGCTAAGTCCATGGGTGTGGAGAAGCCACGGGCCGTAGCGACCCTAGTTCTCACCACCACAACCGTTGCATCCACACTTCACCGTTTCTTAACATGTTTTTAAACAAATTGGTGTTCTGCGCAGACTACATCCGCCATCCATGTATCGTTGCATTTTTTGTGTACGAATGATCGCGAAAATGTGATGTTTGCTTTTCGGGACACAGCTCGGTCACGAGATCCCCCGTTGAGGAGGAACCGCGGAGCAAGTCCCACCTGCCTCTGAGTGGCTTTGTCCCGATGTGCCAACGGGACGAAGCCTCCCACCGGGTGGCCCGTGGTCCACGGTCGTCGTATGAGCGCGGGAGGCCAGCCGCGTTGCCAGACGCACATTTGTTCAAAGTAGGACACCAAGGATGCGCAACCTTGCGAAACGAGGTCGAAATCTTCCGACCAACACGACCCTTGCGGTAAGGGAGGCAGAACGAGGCATAGCTGCAATCCTCCAAGGCTGCATGCATTATTCCCATGATGCCGAACATCACG